CTAACTTCATAACATTTAGGCAGTATAACAGCTATATCTTGAAGTAAAACCAGGTTTTATCTTGACCTAAAACCAATAATAACAACATATAACGTTCCTAGTTTTATCTTGACATAAAACTATCAATAACAATACCAAGTTTTATCTTAACATAAAACTAACAATAACAACATATAACATATCCAGTTTTATCTTGACATAAAACCAATAATAGCAACATACTTTATAACTTAACATATAGAACTTCCGAATATAACTTCGGAACTATATCGCACACAACATATATATATATATAGAATCCTAAGTATAACTCAAGATCTACATTAGTATACTATTATAACAATAACATGCTAACAACTTTACAATAGTTGTATACTTTTAGATACGAAATAACTATATCCCTGTTATTATAACTATCTACGTTGATACTAATATACTATCATATAGACATAATAATAACGTATATATAATATATAGCATGCGTTTTCCCCCGAAATATTAGAAAGTGGGGCCGTGAAACTCACCCTAGTAGCGTGATCTATAGAATATAAGCGGACAGAAGCTCGTCGTAGTCAGGCTCGGGAAGGAAAACGGCCTTCGGAAACGAGCGAGAAAGAAGAGATTTGGTGTAAGGAATGAAATGGTCTTGATCGCTATTTATAGGCTCTTCTGGGCCATTTCACGTCGTGGCATACCCAGGGTCACGTCGTGGACATCCATGAGTTATTCGGTAGCTTTAACACGTGTTTTCTAGCCCCGATTAGTGTCCCACACAAGTTTCACGTTGTGGCCTTAATTGCCACGTCGTGGCTTAAGGCGGCTAGGGTTTTTGCCACGTGTCATGCCCTTAGACAGCTGCATCTTCGGAAGGCCATAACTTTTGCATACGAACTCCGTTTTTGACGTTCTTTATATGCACGCGTAGCTAATTCCGAGTACTACGACTTTCGTTTAGACTCCAATAGCTAATTCTAAGTCTATTTAAATTCCTCTTATTATAGAGATTTATAGTGCTCGGTTTATCATAACTTCTTCACGCGAATTCAGATTTAGATGTTCTCTACATTCTTGGAATCGTATGGACGTATACTTTGAGTTGTATCATGAAAGTTCATATTTTAACATGAATTACATAATAAGTTTATCACATTACTAGTTTAACAAAATCACATTACATGATTGGCATAATCACATGTGATTGTTATTGACCTAATTTTGACGGGTGTTACATTAATTGCTGATTAACTCTTTCAAATAACTTGTATTCTCAGGAGCCTAGTAGACAGGTACTCGTGCTGGGATTCAGAAGATGGAGCAGTATGACTTCAAGCCTTGTTTGTTATTTGCTTATATATTCTATGTTTTGTGAATACACCCTTTGTAAACGCTTTCCTTCTAATGAAATGGTTGTTTATTACTTCGATTACTATGATGCATGTCTTGTGATACTAAACATGACGTCCTCCACCCCAGAACGTTTCCGCCGTTCCGGTTTTGGGGTGTGACAATGGTTGATATTAGGTCATACATTCACATAATATTTAAGGTTCATACATGAACCTAACTCTCTCTCTCTCTCTCTCTCTCTATATATATATATATATATATATATATATATATATATATATATATATATATATGAAACATGAATATCCATTCAATCAACATTACCTATTACCTATCTACCTCTTCTAATAAAAGAATCCTACTAATGCCACATGGCTTTCTTCCAAACCTCAATTTTGGTACGTGGCGTGTTTTTGTTCCCCCTTATTTTCTCTTCCCGCCCCTATTAAATTCTATTAAAATTTGAAATTGATTACGCGACTTCCTATTTAGTAATCAAAATCCCGCTCATAATTTTTATAGTTTCCAACTGATGGGCGACAAATTAGCAAAAATTTGTAAGATGATTACGAAAACCCCAAGAATAAAGGATGATTTTAATTTATTAATGTCGATTGCAACTCCACCTCCTACTTATTGACTATTTTTTAGTATCTTCATCTACAATCGAGAGTATTTTTATTTCTTGATTTTATATGTTTTGATTTCTATTGGTAGAACCGATTTCTTTATTTCATATAAACGATTCCCTTATTTCATATAAAAGATGTTAAAAAATCATATGTATAGTTGTGTGTGTTTGATGCTATATTTAACCTAGAAAACCAATTGTGTGTGTTTAATGCTATATTAGACCCAAATATGTTTTCTATTTTCTCCCTTACATATTGCACCGTAAGTGTTTGATAAAACGCCATGAGAACTTTTGTGTGTGTCATTGTACAGACTGTGCTATTGGAAGCTGTGTTTATCAACAATTGGTTAATATTTAGATATCGTATAAGTGTATTTTCATTTTGTAATCTGTTCAGGTGATTAAGATTCTAATTATAGTTTAAATATAATTGTTTTTTTTGATGTGGATATGTCTAGACTTTTACCATCTTTGATAAGTATCACATGTTTATTTCCTTTTCAGTTACAAAATAAGGAGAAGGTTCATGTGCTTACTGATTCCTGCAGTGACAAATATAACTTTCTGTTTTACATCAGACATGCACAACTTTTTCTCATTTCTCATTTTTATATTGTTTATACTTTAATTATTGGTTTATCATAATCCCTAAAATATATTGCTCTTTTTTGTGCAGGTCCATTTATATACAAAGATCCTAGCTCTTATAACCATAATACAATATAGGTTGAAGCATGACTCCATAAATAATGACCTTGATGTGGCAAAACAGAGGCTTCCTATTGATTTCAAATAAAAATTTCAAAGTTGTTTATATTATAGTACATTTATCATGTATTCGACATGGCAATGTAGTTTCTTTTATCATTTTATTATAGCATTCTACTTTTGCTTTCTTCCTTTTATAACATTATACTTTTGCTTTCTTTCTATCCGAATTTGTTTAGAATTTCACGTCTTAATATAATGTTGAAAAGAAATGATACTTTAATTATTTAGAGGGAAATAAAAACACAATGATGAAGTTTTGAATGTATGTTTCTATATGATTTTTCTTTAATGTGTGTTTGAAGTTTTGAATGGATATGAGTGGGATCTGGAATTTTAAGAGAGCAAGGGGTAGTTTGGTCAATTATCATGTTTGTTGGAAAATTAGATTTTTTTTCTTGAGAATTTTAATGTATTGGTTTAAATGGTATGGGAACAAAGTTGGAAGGCATTGTTTGGAACCATGAATATATGGTTATGTAAAATCTGATACAGGAAGAAGGAAAATGGTAACTCGATAATTAAAAACAAAAAGGTCAGAATAAATTTTCATGTGAGATATAATTTTTATAATCCAAATACTTTTTTCAAATAAATTCCATCTTAATGTTACGTATCATTTGAAGTTCATGAAACCACACATGTATATCTATAATTTTGAATCGGGTAGATATATAAAATCTTAGTGTAATTAACTAAATGGGTATATAACATGCTTATCTATCATTTTGACCGGTTTACTATATATCCTTTTGTCCATATATAAAACCTTAGTAATAAACTTTACTAGAATTATTTTTTTAGTTTATTTTAATCGATAAATGGACCCATATAATTACATCAAGTACTTTACCCCGATGATAATGTTTTGATTAATAAGACCATACAAACTTAAAAATCTTAATTATTCAAAAATAGGATAAATATAAGTTTTTTTTAATCAAACATGTTGATAAAGAATTTTGTGTGAAATTTAAACTAAAAGTGTGTATAAAAATTATACATAATATATATATATATATATATATATATATATATATATATATATATATATATATATGATTATTGTTATTGATTGTTCGATGACAAATTTCTTAAAAGGTAACTATACACAAAAAAAAATATTCATTACTACCTACCATCTAGATTACTAGAAAACTTCGGCCACAAAACCTTCACCACTTGTGATCGGATCTGTATTTTTCATTTGCGATTTGGAATATGAAATATTTCCAAATGAAACTATATGCATCTTCCATTAATGTAAATTAAACAGAGAATATTCGTTATCAAACAGAGACCATTTTCGTAAACTCTAGTAAACGGGACCATTTTTGTTATTATTTTAAAATCTGGACCATTACTTGTGAATGATAAACTTATATGCAATAAATAACAATCTACTTTAAAAGTATGATGATATTAAAAGTATATAAGTTGCTTTGTGGCTTGGGGGGATGATCTTATCACTTAGACTATGCGGTGTGGTGCTAACACACCACACGTTATGCTGACATGGACAAGCTTAACCCAAGTGACCCCCCTATGTTATAACGTGTTATGCTTAGGTTGTGTTATGGAATGTGGTGGTGGTAACATTGCATCACGCGATCAACCTCCCTCTTTCTTTCTTTCTCTCTCTATCTCTATCTTAACATTTTTTTAATTAAAAAAAATTAAAACTATAATGAATGGTGGAGTGGTAAGTATTTTCTAAGATGAGTGATGGGGAAGTGGTGTTGACATGACACTGATGTGTCACCATTTTTTTATGAGGTTAGAGGTATAACTCAACCTTATTGCTACTTTTGATTAATATGCAAGTTAATAGCACCTCATTTTTTTATTCTTTATGAATTTAGGAATATAATTGGTAAATTGACCATTCATGTAATATTTTTGACATGGACTATTCGTGCGATATACTAACTTCATGTTTTTCATTTTCAATTTTATTGATGTACCTTCTTAACTATTTGTAAATTTAGTTTTTAACTGTTTGCAAAATTATTGATTAATGATTACGATTTTTGTAATCGTTACGTTGTTTTACGTCATAACCTAATTACCCAAAAACCCTTATTCATAGTATCATTGAAAATGCCTTTTAAGTTTGGATGATATTTGAAGCCCATCAAGTTTGCAATATTGTAACTTTGTAAAGCCCATATGTAATAACGGAGTTCGTGGGCTTTTTCACTTTTGAGGCCGATGAATTTCTACCCCTTCTGCGTTGGCCCCAGTCACGCATTTTGATAAAATAAAAGCTCGCCAAAACTTGGAAACCCTACTCTCCTTCTTTTGCTTCAGCACATATCTGGAATACAGGCACAGCCGAGGAAACACACTTTCCGCTAATCGATAAAGGTATTGCCTCAGTATGTTATTCATCGTTTTATCAATTTGTGGCAAGGGTCGTTATTCTGTTCTTATGTGTTTTTGTTTGTTTAGTTCAAGATCTATCGACAGATTACGTGCAGTATAAGATTCATAGATCGACAACTGATTTATTTGTGTATCTCTTGTTAGCAATTTGATGATTGAATTTGTTTACTCTAACTGCTGGCGTTACTTTAGGGTTTTGTTTTTCCTTTCGGTTTGTGGCTAGATTGACTGTTCGATGGAGGAGTAAGGGTGAGGGATTAGGTGCAATATATATATATATATATATATATATATATATATATTATGTTTTAATTTTCTACTTGTATATTCTTTGCGCTTGATCTAAATGCCTAAAGGGCAATGTTTTTTGCTGGATGTTGCCTGTGGCTGTGAACATACTTAACGGGTTCTCAATTAACATAGGAGACAATTGTTTGAAAATATATGATTTATCCATATTCTGATTTCTTTAAAACATGTATTCATGTTTAATGCTATGCTTGGACTGGAAATGTGTCTGTTTGTAAAATATGCTTTTCAGTTTCAGCATTTCAATGCTTAGAATTGGGAAGATTGATTTATCACTATTTTCTTCGTTATCTTGTTTGATGAGTGTGTCAATAGAGAACAAAGCGGATGTCTACAGTATAAGTGTCTTTGTGCTTCTATCTGTGCAAAACTTCAAGTTATTCCTAAGCAGATTTAACACCTACAAATAATTGTTTGGTTTGTATCCTAGCAGGTTGAAGACCACTGTGATTGACCATGGCGACTTTTGCTAAACCGGAGAATGCATTGAAACGAGCAGAAGGTGAGTGGCAACTTGCTGATTTAATCTAACTCTTTAACATTTCTGACTTATTTTCATTCTCTTTAATGTTTTTGATGCTTTGTAGTTTGTCTTCTTACATCTGAGAATGTATGCGTATATGGTGACTAACCGACTTTTGCTAAAATGTGATTGCAGAATTGATAAATGTTGGTCAGAAACAAGATGCACTGCAAGCTCTTCATGATCTTATTACATCAAAAAGGTACAGGGCATGGCAGAAAACACATGAAAAGATTATGTTCAAGTACATCGAGCTTTGTGTTGATATGAGGAGGGGTAGATTTGCCAAAGATGGTCTTATCCAATATCGCATAATCTGCCAGCAAGTTAATGTTAATTCTTTAGAAGAAGTGATTAAGCACTTCATGGATCTTTCAACCAAAAGGGCTGAGCTGGCACGTAGTCAGGCACAAGCTTTAGAGGAAGCTTTGGATGTTGATGACCTTGAAGCAGATAAAAGGCCAGAAGACCTAATGTTAAGCTATGTCAGTGGTGAAAAGGGAAAGGATCGTTCAGATAGGGAGCTTGTGACTCCATGGTTTAAGTTCTTATGGGAGACATATAGGACAGTTCTTGAAATTCTCCGAAACAATTCCAAGTTGATGGCTCTTTATGCTGTAAGTTTTGATTTTTAATAATGCGAATCTTGCTTCTTAAATTCTTAACTTATATTAATTTTGATTTTTTTTTGTATGTAGGATACTGCACATCGTGCCTTCCAATTCTGCAAGCAATACAAAAGAACAACAGAGTTTCGTAGGCTTTGTGAGATTATTCGGAATCATCTTGCAAACCTCAACAAGTACAGAGACCAGAGGGACAGACCTGACCTAACTGCCCCTGAAAGTCTACATTTTTACCTGGACACAAGGTTTGAGCAATTGAAAGTTGCAACCGAATTGGAACTCTGGCAGGTGTGTATGCTATTTATATGGGAACATACTTTATTAATAATATTTTTACCAATATAGGCTATCTACTCTATAGTTTTATCCATATATTTCTTTATCCATAATAGCAACCCTGTTGCATTCTTTACATATAATATAAATAATACTTTAGGAACATATTTAAAACTTTTCCCTACAATAGCAACATCATTTTACTCTTTTACCCATAATAGTTTAAAGATAACAAATAAAGTACATTGTCTTAATTGGTAGTGAAATATATGTATGTTGCTATTGTTGGTAAAAGATTTAAGTGTAAGTATGTTGTTATCAGTAATAGATTATATAAGTATGTTGGCATGTTGCTATTAGTGTTAAAAGAATATTATAAAATAATAAAGTAAAAGATAAAGTACATCGCCCATATTGTTATAAACAGTAAAGTATGTTTCTGTTACCTTTCTGTTATATTGAAACATCTAGTTTAAATTTAATAACTTGTATGATTGTATCTTCAGGAAGCTTTTCGTTCTGTGGAAGATATTTATGGGCTAACAAGCATGGTTAAAAAAATGCCGAAATCGTCCCTGATGGCTATTTACTATGCAAAGTTGACTGAGATCTTTTGGATTTCATCAAGCCATTTATACCATGCGTATGCATGGTTTAAGCTTTTTCAACTTCAAAAGAGCTTCAATAAGAATCTGAACCAGAAGGATCTGCAGCTGATTGCATCATCAGTTTTGCTTGCTGCACTTTCAGCTCCTCCATATGATCACCTGAAAACTGCTTCTCATTTGGAACTTGAGCATGACAAAGAACGCAATCTCAGAATGTATAATCTTATTGGCTTCAATATAGATGCAAAGCTCGAGACAAGAGAAGTGGTATTACACAAAACATTTTTCTACTTTTGTTTATTTATCTCATCTCATTAGTATTAATTTGCTTCATTTTCCTGCAGCTTTCCAGGTCATCTCTTCTCGCAGATCTGGTAAGATGTAGTTTATTTTACCAATTCTAGAATTTTTTTTAAGAGTTGAATGTATGTAACATGATATTTGTTTTTCAGGTTTCTAAAGGGGTGATGACATACGTAACTCAAGAAGTGAAGGATCTGTATCATCTTTTAGAAAATGAATTTCTGCCTTTGGATTTGGCTTCAAAAGTACAGCCTTTGTTGACAAAGATTGCAAAACTTGGGGGAAAGATATCTTCAGCTTCTTCTGTACCAGAAGTGCAGCTTTCTCAGTACATTCCTGCTTTGGAAAAAGTAGCCACCTTAAGACTCCTACAACAGGTAATTTTTTTTCTTTCTATGATGAATTTCTTGTTTGACAACAAATAAATAGGTTGAAGCCTGCCTAATAATTTGAATTTCCATATCAGGTGTCCCAAGTGTACCAAACAATGAAAGTTGAGACTTTATCAAAAATGGTTCCTTTCTTTGACTTCTCAGCTGTAGAGAGGATCTCTGTTGATGCTGTCAAGCATAATTTCATTGCTATGAAAGTTGACCACATGAAGGGTGCAATTATATTTGGTGACTTGGTAAGTCTAATCTGCATAATTTTGTTGATTCTCTCTTTTTTTTTTGTTTTTTTTTATTTATACTTTTATTGACTAGTTTTTTTCTCAAGGGTTTTGAATCTGACACTCTGCAAGACCACTTGAGTGTTTTGGCTATAAATCTGAACAAATCAAGGTCCCTGATCTATCCTTCTCAATCCAAAGCATCAAAATTGAGTGCTATGCTTCCAAGCTTGGCAGATATTGTTGATAAAGAGCACAAAAAGCTTCTTGCTCGCAAATCCATCATTGAAAAACGCAAGGAAGAACAAGAACGCCACCTTCTTGAAATGGTTGGTACCAATTCATTCATTTTCTTAACTTACACAAACACACACTGTGTTTCTAACCCTAATGTTTTGTCACAAAGGAACGAGAAGAGGAGACAAAAAGATTAAAGCTACAGAAGAAAACCGAAGAAGCAGAACAAAAAAGACTTGCAACCGAGTTTGAAGAAAGGAAGCACCAACGCATCCTCAGAGAAATTGAGGAACGAGAGCGTGAAGAAGCACAAGCATTGCTCAATGATGTTGGGAAACGTATCAAAAAGAAAGGAAAGAAGCCCATCATTGAAGGGGTAAGTAAAGTAAAAGAAAGATTGGTCCTTTTTTTCGTTTTCATGCTGATGATTGTTGGTTGTTTCTGTTGACATTACAGGAGAAGGTGACAAAGCAATCCTTGATGGAGTTGGCAATGCAGGAGCAAGTGAGAGAGAGGCAGGAAATGGAAAAGAAGATGCAAAAACTAATCAAGACCATGGATCATTTTGAAAGAGCCAAAAGGGAAGAGGCTGCACCTCTCATTGAAGCTGCTTTCCAAAGATGTTTGGCTGAAGAGAAAATCCGCCATGAACGTGAACAACAGGTAACCTACTTACTTACTTTGTAAAATAAAAAAAAAAGACGTAAATGCATAAGTTTACTTGCTAATTTTATTTTTGTGTGCAGCTTGAGGTTGAACTGAGCAGAGAGCGTCATGAAGGAGATCTGAAGGAGAAGTATCGACTTGCTCGTGTTATGGAACATAAGGTCTGTATTGTATTTTTTTTATTATAATATGTATGTAAAATTTTCTTATAAAATAAAATATTCATGTATGTGCACAGATGGAACTTGAGGAAAAAGTTGTGAGCAGGCGAAAGGCAGAGTACGATAGAATGAGAGCTGAGAGAGAGGAAAGACTTGGCCAAATCCTCAAGGCACGAAAAGAGGAAAGGGACCTAAAAAGGAAAATGTTGTTTTATTTGAAGACTGAAAAAGAAAGGCTCGACAAGCTTCGTGAGGAAGAAGAAGCTCGCAAACGTGAAGGTTACTTTTTACTTTTTCTTTTTGTAAATTATATTTTGCAATTTTGTCTCTTCCTATTCAAGTCAAATGACTATCTTTGAGACCAAAATTAGAAACCTTCCGATAACCAAAAAGAGCCCTTTTACTTTTGACAAGGACCGTACTTGTTACAAGAACCTCAAATAAGCACCAAATTTGCTTTTTGGGACCAACATTGCAAAAATTGGCAATACTAACGTCAATAAAGACTGAAATTGCAATAAAACTGTTTTGGGACCAAAATTGCATAAAAATATTATTAAAGTCCAAAAATGTAGTTTATGTAAAGCTGAAAAAATCAATATCTATTTTTACTTTGTTTGTTTGGGATTTACAGAGGCTGAAAGGCGTAAGAAAGAGGAGGCTGAACGGAGGGCTAAGTTGGATGAAATAGCTGAAAGGCAGAGGAAAAGAGAACAAGAACTTGAAGAAAGAGAGAGGCTTAGGAAGGAAGCTATCTTACGTGGAACACCGATCGATGGCCCGACCAGGCCGTCTGAGCTTCCTGCTCCCGCTCCCGCACCCGCGGCTGCGGCCGCACCAGCTGCCGCCGCCGCCGCTTCTGCTGCAGGATCTGGTGGTGGGAAATACGTGCCAAGGCACCGTAGAGGTGCGCCGGCAGAGACAGCAGCACCGCCGCCGGCACAGCCATCCTCTGATAGGTGGGGGAGTGGGAAACCGGAGGAGCGTGGAGCGGCTCCACCGGGCGACAAGTGGCGTCCGTCTTCGTTTGGTAGTGGTAGTGCTGGCGGAGCAAGTGGTGGTGCTGGTGGAAAAAGTTGGTCTTCATCCAGGTTTTCGCGGTGAGACTTGGGTGATATTCTTTTATAATTATGGGAGAGGAAGTGGTTGTGTTTGTGCATTTTGTTTTCAAAATGATCAGGGGATTTGGTAGACTCATAATGTTAAGATCGTTTTTATTTGCCTTAACTTTTTGATGGGATCTTTCGATAAACAAAGTATTATTTTTGATTTGGATCTTGCATAATCGTCACTTTTTTATTAAAAACTTGTGTGTGCTCTTTGTTTACATCTTTACTAATATTTTGTATACGGATTTTCTTTTTTAAGCTTTTAATTATAGGCAAAATTTCATAGTGGGCTTTGGGCCTGTTTCTCAAAACTAACTGGTAGGGTTTGGTAAAAGCTATAAGAAATACTTTTAGATTTAAAACATTTTGTTTAAACTAAATACTAAAAATTTGTAGTGTTAAAAGACATTTTGTTTAAACTAAATACTAAAAATTTGTAGTGTTAAAAGAGATTTTTTGTTTAAAACGGACGTTTTTATTAAACGTTAAAATAAAGCTACTAAAAAGTTTCGTGCCAATAATGTTTTCCAAAAAATGGCAAGGCGATGATGACTTCTAGAAATATTTTGTAATTGCCCCTAGGGTTTAAAAAAATGATCGATGATAATGTTTAGAAATGTTTATAGTTTGCCCTTTCAAAAAATGACATGGATAGAGGCGGAATTAGAAATTTTCACAAGTGGTAGCATAATCGCCTATTTATTTTGTCAGTGACCATTTATTGAGAAAAAAACTATTATTAAGAAAGCTACAATTTGAAATTAGATTGAATATTAAAGGGAAAATCCTAAAAAAACCTAACCTATTATCCTCTAATATTTGAATAAACAGTTATGTTATTTTTGTGCATGATAAAATCATTTTATTTGTTGATCATGCTTCAAATAATGCTTCGTAACCGGAAAACAGTTGAAGGTTGGTTACCTTATATTTGTGGCATTAGAAAAACTCAACCTATTATCTTCTGAATGCACGAAAAAACAATTTTAGTTTCTAATTTTGTATAATAAAACCTTTATATTTTGATTTTGTACAAAAAACCTTTAATTCCCCTTCTATGTCTTATATTTTTCTCTTGAGAGATGATAATTGATAAATATTTCATTCATTCCACAAAAAGAAGGGGGTATAAGTGCATAATTTCTCCATTGTTTTCTGTTATCCTTTTTCTTTTGTTTTGGTTTTTGAGAGACTATTTAGTTGCTCAAAATTTACAAATATTATCGTCATGGTTACCTACTGTCCAATAAGAGAAGTTTTGGAGAAGAAAAATGCACTTTGCTTCCTTGGTTCTTACTTTTGCCATGTGTTATGCTCTTATTGTATCTTGTTGCCACTTGTGGTATAAAACTCTTAATAACAACTGGGCATTATATTATATTGTTATATGTATTTATAACTTGTACTTCATATTTGGAATCAATGACAAATTTACTAGTTATCATGGTATCAATGGTTTCCTTGGTAATCCCTCTCCTAAAATACATCCCTTCATTCCTTGGACGTTTTTTTCTCTCTTTTTGGGAGTCTTTTTGTCATAGTCTCCCTCTTTCCACCACTATGGGTTTTCTATGACTGACCCTCATAAGGTATACTTTACTTCCATGATACACATCATGCGTTAGCTATAAGGTACTCTTGATCATGGCCTCCAGTTTCATATATCGTCCTCGAAAAGCCTAACTACTTATTTTGATGCTAACTAAGGGGTTGCCTAATGACTCGTCATTTCACATATGAGAACTTTATCTTTCTAGGTGACAACCACAACTCTTGTCAATCCAAGTGTAAGTGTTTATTTCTCTCTCTAATGTCAAAGCTAAATAACATAGGGTGGTATGCAGTCGTTAGAACATCTTAGGTTTGCCATCTCCTATGAGAACTCCATTGCCCTAACATGAAGGTCATCATTTTCTGTTGTGATAACTTCAATTACGTATACTCAAATTCTTACGCAACATCAATGCATGAAGCACATAAAGATTGGCATTCACTTTGTTCAAGATCAAGTGACATTAAGGTTATTTTGTATTACTTATAACATGTAGTTAACTACTGGAATCAATGAAAAGTTTAGCAATTATATTTTCTCATGAGAAACGAGCCAATCTACTCGTGAGCTACTCGAGATCGAATCGTTAAAAGCTCGACTCGAGATCGATTTTAAACGAGCCCAAGCCGAGCTCGAGCTTAATATTAGGCTTGTTTTTTAAACGAGCTCGAGCTCAAGCCCATGTTACTTGGCTCGATTAGGCTCGCGAGCCTAAAGGAGCCTACATATATATAATTAAAAAAATATTTTTATTTTTTCATATTAAAATAAATAATAATTTAATAAATACTGTTTTAGGAAATTAGAGTATACCGTATACGAGCCGAGCCCAAACCGAGTCCGAGCCCGTACAACTCTTAACGAGCCGATCTCGAGCTTTGTACCACAAGGCTCGAAACGAGTCGAGCTCGAGCCTACAAATATTTAAACGAGCCGAGCCCAAGCCTAGCCAGGCTCGAGCTCAGCTCGGCTCGTTTGCAGCCCTATGAGAAAACAATGTGTGACATAAAAAGGAACATAACTAATTATTGTACAAAATCAGAATATAACACGGTTTGACTGTAAAAATAATAAAATAAAATGGTTTTATTGTACAAAAGAACAACACAATGGTTTTTTCTCGCATAAGAGGATAATATGTTGGGTTGTTCTAAAGTCGTAAATGGTAGGTAACCGACTTTTAAGGGTTTGCCAGTTATGAAGCCTTATTTTAGGCACGAGGAACAAATAAAATGTTTTTTTTTGTACATAAAATAACATAATGGTTTTTTTCGAGCATTGGAGGATAATATGGTGGGTTTTTCTATGGTTTTTCCAATACTATAACATAAAAGAATGAAACAGATTTTAGGAAAGTGTAAGTTTTTACTTAATAGGCGGTAAAAAATTATAGCCACACAATAAAGTCATTAACATGCATTATGTTATCCAATATGGCTGGTTAGTTCCAAAAACACTACCATATGAGAACATAAAATGGTCGAGGGTCTCTTCTTTGATGGCAGATGACACCATTATGGTGACATCCATCTAGGGAGGGGTCTTTTTTAACTGAAATGATCACTATATTAGTAAAGAAAAACAATAGCAACAAAAGTGGTAAGCATATCATAAAACAAATGCAAAATTTCAGTAATAGAAATAAGAGAAAACATAATAAAAATAAAATCCCACAAAATAATTATAATTGTGTGTCTTAATAACTTTCGCACCGGCTTTCTGCACATGTCACAACATCGAACTCAACATAGCAAGTTAAAGTTGTGATTGATCATTAGAGTTTATAATATGATCTCCAAGATATCAAGCCCCTTCAAAAGTTACAATATCACCACAAAGAAAAAGGTGGTTAATATACATTGTAATATACCAAAACACATTAAACAAACTTTCTGATCGTCATCATCATATCACATATGCTAAAAAGAATTTTGATTTCTTTGAGGACTTAAATCAAACATTTGGTGTGCGACATGAATCCATCTTTCAAATGAGCAAAAAAGCATAGACAATTCAGAACTTTGAATCCATCTTTGAAACAGTAGAAACAATGATCTTCAACACCATCAAGGGCACCATTCTTAAGTTTTAGATTAAGTTCATTATGCACCCAAACCTTAATCAATTTGACGGTGTGCTTATGTGCATATGTGTATGAATGTGTGACCGAAAGGAACGAAAAAGATGAAGAAGGATTTCTAAACAAAAATATGAAGAAAGAGAAATCGTTACTGATCGTACCGCTCCTTGCTCCATGATCGTGATACCTGATTGTGCTAACCTGTTATCTGATCGCGATAACTGGTCATGCTACGTTCCTTGTAACACCTCAATTTAGATTTAAACTTTCATATGCTATGGTTTTAAAAACATTTGGGAGTTAACCCACATTTAACAAAAAAAGGGTCCCACAAAAACATTTACAAATTTAAAACAATGGGTGTTACCATTAAGCATCAATATAACCATAGCAAGCAAATAAGAATTACATCAATACAATTAATAAGGAACTTAACAAGTTCCACTCCATTCTCTATCACTTGACTTTTAGCTTCCACCTATCATTTTCTCTTCTTAAGTGTAACATGAGATACATGACATTAAAAAAAAATACGTAATACAATAATGTCTCGTGAGCTACGTGGGTTTGAGACCCAAAACATTTATCACATTTTCATCAAAAACATTTCATCTTTGCAAAACATAGTTTTAGACCATAAAACATTTTCAAGCATTTTCAAGGAAAACTCATTTCATACATTTCATAAATATCATTTCATATCTTCTCATTCCATTTCCTTTTATTTAATTTCAAAAGCCATATTTCCATATTTCATTTTCTTTTATCATTAAGGGCTAATTCCGGTATTATACCGTTGTCATTTTTATACTTAGGGTCTACGTCCAATAAAGGAACCACTCCCAAGTCTAGACCAAGGTGGAAAAAAACAAATCAATCCACCAAGGCATCATTTCCAAGGCCAAGGTGGAAAGAACAAATCAATCCACCAAGGTATCATAATAGGACATCTATCTCGCGAAGGGGAGGCGCCACCCCGATAGATTCCTCTTGTGCCTCTCACGAGGTATCATGGCCCGGACAGTTTTCATTTCATTACTTTCCAATTCTTTTCATTATTTTCCATTCATTTTCATTACTTTACATTTATTTTCATTACTTTCCATGCTTTACACATTTTATACATTAGTATCATAAAATCATTTCAAAAGTAAAACATCTATATTTCAAAACATTTCAATCATATTTTCAAAATATTCGATCTTCCAAAACGTTCTTTTCTTTCAAAAACATTCATGCATTTAAGGCACTCTTTCAAAATACCCTTTCCAAAAACATTTGACGTTTTCGTTTCAAAACAATTCATATATAAAAGCATTGCATTTCATTATCATAAAATCATTTTGCCATGTACCCCAAAGTGAGAAAATGCCAACACGTACTCACCTTAATCACACGTAGGCTAGCTAGTCTTCTTCTAGTTCCTTTCCTCATAGAAACACTCTCAATCAACACCTATATAACATGGACACAAGTCATTAAAATGACCAAAATACCCCTCAAAGTTTCCAT